GGGTATGTGATAATTATGGAGAAGTGATCCCCCTATGCAAAATCATTTCTATCCTCCCAAGCTAATATTTTCAAATTGGAAGCAATTCGCTTATGAGATACATACATCTGGCAATGGCTGTGCCCGGGGGAACTCAAAGTCAATAATTTTTCAATCTGTGTTTCTGGACTTGTGGATTTCATAACTTATATTTGATAAAGCCGTTAGTTTTTCAATAGCTTTCCTTGGGGGCCTGGATACAGATGCTGCTTTGGTAGCATTGCAGGGATGTAAATGGATTTTTTTTAAACCTTGGTTAGCCAATTAAACTGTTGGGTTTCATATCTGGGTTCTTGAATTAAAAGCACCATAAACAGAAAAATAGCCTTTTTTCCTTTTGTTTTGCTAATTTATGAATACACTTACTTGCCTCATTTTTGAATGTTCTCAAAATGTTAAAGTAAAGCTTAAATAAATGAAGCTAGCTCTTTATTCCATTGCAGGAGGGCATTTTTCATCCTTTGTCTAGATGTCAGCAAGGAGTCAGCTTAGGCAGAAATACAGTTACGGTAGTTAGTTACACCGGTGCTGAACTAATCTTGGAGAATTAATATTTGTGTACGCCATGAAATCTTTTTTGGCTCCGTTTTTACAAAAGGGCAGATGTTTGAAGAAGAGAAAGCACATTCTCATTTCTGAAGCAATTGGTCATAGATTTACTGCAGGGATAGGCAACGACAGCTCGGTAGACAGCTCTTTTGGGACTTGCTGGCTCTTTGTCCCACCTGTTACTGTTTTCCTTAGGTTCTTTTAATTAAAAGAATGAATGAATAGGAAGTGACATTCTGCAAACTGACTATACAGGCCGCTCAAGCGTTCTGAGACAGTGTTTACATAATCCACTTGATTCATTTAATAAATTCACCCACATACAAGGCCGACACAGTGCATTGAATGAGAAATAAACCAAAGATGTTTGGTTTGCACAACATGCTAAATTATGAATACAATACACTAAAAATGTTAAAAATGAGTGTTTAGTATATTGTGCAAATGAGGCTGCTGTGTTTTTAATTAACTCGGTGATGTGTACTGTCTGAATTCAACCTTAGAAAGAAAATGAAGAAAAAGGTAAGTACTGTATTCTATTTGTAAATATCCCAATGAAGTTAGACTGAAAAATAACTGGGATGCAGCAGTATCCAAAACAAGCCATGATGGCATCAAGATAATAACATGTATTATGATACTATTGAACAAATTATGTAATTCTACCATGATATCTGGCACAGGTGCACAATTCATATCGTATGTACAAAGACAAAAGAGTCATTTTAAAATGGCATTATGTAGTTACGTCTTGGTTTAGTCTTTTCAAACGTGGACAGTCTTCCAACTATATGGACTTGATATCTCATAATTCTAAATAATGACCAGGGTAAATAGAAAATCAGGGGTTATGTCTGTAAACCAATTAGTCTTCTGGGGCAAGACTGCTTTAGCTCTTATAAAATACTGCATTCAAACTTCAAATTTTCTTCAAGCGTGTTATGGTACCAATGTTACAGACAATCAATTTGTTTATAGATATGGTTACTTTTTTCCATTACGTTTAAACCACCATATTTTTCGGAGTATAAGACGCACCTTTTCCCCTCAAAAAAGAGGCTGAAAATCTGGGTGCGTTTTACATACTGAATACATCATTTTTAGCCTGCCGAAACCCCGCCCTTTTCACCAAGATGGCCGTGCATAGCCTTTAGGAGGCTTTCAGGGTGCTCCTGGGGACTGGGGAGGGCAGAAATGAGCGGAAAATGGGCCATCCTTTGCTCAATTCTGCCCCCCCCCTCAGTCCCCAGGAGCACTCTATAAGCCTCCTAAAGGCTATACATGCCCTTTTTTTTTGACAAAAGGCCCGTTTTTGCAAAAAAACAGGCTGTTTTTGGGAGGTCTGCAGAGTGCAAAAACTTTTTTTTTAATTTGCCTATTCAAAATCTTGGCGCGTCATATACTCCGGTGCGTTTTATACTCCGAAAAATATGGTAAATTCAGTTTTGTGAGACAAACATTTCATGATGGACATATATTACTATGAGCCATTTAAAGAAGACTAGACAAGGATGGCAGAATTATGAATGCTAAGGCTACTTTATGATAAATTTATGGTAATTGAATGTTACAAGTTTGAATACTCCTCCCCACACACACACCTATCTTCAAGAGTCTCTTGCTTGACTGTGGATTGGACTAGAATACCTCCAAGGTCCCTTCCAACTCTGGTATTTTGTTAAGTCCATATATCTTAAAGCTACCAGATTAAGAAACATTGCTTTAGAGGCTATTATACACTACCTCTCTATAGCACATTCATTGGCACCATTTTCATATATTCTGAATACCAGAAAATATATAACTAAAATAGGAACATTCTTGAGAGTAACAAGCAAAGATTCAATTTTTCTAGGATTGAGAAAAATTGAGAAAATTTGAGAAAATGGACTTCCAGATCCAAATGCTACAGCATCTACACGCAACATCTTCCAAAGCTGAGCAACTAAATTATAATAGCAATGGCAGTGTTGTTATTGTTTCTCTTTATCTTTCTACCCACAGAACATTCATTGTTCTTATTTGCATCCTTTTTTCTTCCACTTTTTTTTAAAGTGCAGAAAATGAGTCTTGACATCAAAATTCCTTCAGCACCAAACTGACCACAGGTTATTTTCTGGCAACCTTTCTATCAGTGGTGAGATACGACCGGTACACCCCGGTACTGGCATACCGGTGCCTGCTGGGAGCACCAGGTACCGTCCTGGTACAGTGCTCTGGAGGGCCCACCAGCCCGCCCACTCTCCTTACCACTATTTGAGCCGATCAGGGCTTTTGTGCACGCACATGGAGTGTACGACATCTGCGCGGTCCTCTGCCGAGCAGCTGGAGCGTTGCGGGCGGTAAGTATGCATGCGCGTGCTGCACAGGTTCATATGGTGGACGCCAGGCCCCATTGCAGCGTACTGGTTGCAACGGGATCTGGAACCCACCCCTGCTTTCTACACAAGTAGTCCTCAATTTGCGACCACAATTGAGCCCAAAATTTCTATTGTTAAATGAGACGTTTGTTAAGTGAATTTTGCCCCATTTTACGACCTTTCTTGCCTCATATGTTAAGTGAATCACCGCAGTTGGTAAATTAGTAGCCTAGTTGTAATGGATTCCCCATTGACTTTACTTGCCAGAAGGTCGCAAAAGGGCGATCACATGATCTTGGGACACAACAGCAGTCATAAATATGAACCGGTTGCCAAACATCTGAATTTTGATCACCTGATCATGGGGATGCTGGAAAGATCGTAATTGTAAATAAGTCATAAATCACTTTTTTCAGTGTTGTTGTAACTCTGAACAGTTACTAAATGAGCTGTTGTAAAATGAGAACTACCAGTAGTCCATGTCTTCTTACTTCACAAGGTGAGATCAGGCTCTTTCGACTCTTTTACGATATCAGGACCATAGAGGGATATGTTTGAGGTTCTGGAGTGCTGGTAAAGAGCTAACCGATAAAAAGTTCGAGAGATGCCTGCTGAGAGATCTCAATCAATGAACCCTTATCTACTTACTAACCAAAATGTCTGGTCCTGCCCAACTCACTGAGAAAAAAAAAACCCAACCCTTTTTCCTCTATTAAAAAAAGAATACTCAGAAGTCTTGTGATAATTGTGATGATGCTGATCTGCTTTTACTGTATTAGTCTACATCCTTTTTCAATCCAATTATGCATTATTAGCAGTGGTGGCTGGGGAATTCTGGGAGTTGAAGTACCAGATGTCGTCACGTTACTATATTGTTACTATACTGCTCTAGTTACTGCCTCAAATGCTCCACCCATCCATTACAATGAAAGAAAGCTTCTCTGCTTGCAAATGGGTAGCTGCTATCGAACAAACCCTCCACAGCTCAACTTAGAAGAAATTAGGGTCTAGCAAAGGGGTGTCAAACTCTGTGGGGTGCTTAGATCTGGCCCACAGGGCTGCCATGGAAACAGTGAAAGATTGGCCCACAGTGTCTCTGCCAGTGAAAACAGACCTCAGGAGGGCTGCACGCAGCCACCAAGCTCCGTTTTCATTGGAAGAGGGGTGCAGGAGGCTGTCATATCCGAAAATAGAAGTCAAAGTGGCCACACCCACCTTGACCATGCCCCCCCCCAGCCCAGGGTTTGTTCCGGATTCTTTTACTGCTGGCTCACTCAGGGATGCACTTCAGGCGTATGTGCCCTTGATGCACATGCACGCTTGATGCATGTTGTGCACGCATGTGCTAGTAGTGAAAAATTGTTTCTGCGCATGCGCAGAAGCAAAAAACAAGATGGCAGAGGCACCGCCAATAGAACCGGTTCGGGGGTGTGGGTAGCTGAGTTATTATCTACTTGGATGAACTGGTCCAAACTGATAGGAACCCACCTCTGCCCCAGCCCCCCAAGTTCAAATGCAACCCTGATGCAGCCCACAATGAAATCAAGTTTGACACCCCTGGTCTAGCATAATAGAATTTCCCCATGAAGAGCATCCAAAAATTGCCAGAGGCTGAACTTTCATCTATGATTGGATCTGCACCTCCAAACTGCCACAAGTCTACACCCTATGCCAATCAAAGCGATGAATCTGGCCAACTTTTTAGGTTTTCTGGTGCTGAAATTCTGTTGTTCCTCATCCAGATTTCTTCCAGCTGAGCTTTGAGGTTGGAAGAAGAAAGCTACTTTCCAGGCACAATTTGAATTCAGAGAATGTGAATCCAATCCAATCCAGACTTGTTCATGGAATAATAGCTCTGGAAGACTCCCTGCATGGCAGAAAGGAGTGACCAGAAATCAGCCACCAAATAAATATATAAAGGCAGAATGCAGCTCCTTGCAAAAGATGTGCATCCCCTATTTATTCAGTAGGTGGCAGTTAAAAGCTTAGATGAGATCTGCTGTCGCCATTGAGGTACTAATAGCAGCTGAAGCAGCAGCTAAAGCTACAGCTGGTTCACCGCCGAGAGGAAGGAGTGTGACTGGAAGGAGCTTGTCACTCCCTAGCAGTAGCATTAACCACAACCTCAGCATCCAAATCGGAAGGCAGAAGGTAAGACCATAAGCCCCATAAGCAATGCAAAAAGCCCCCCAGAACAGTTGCTGATTGGTCATAAAAGAGGAAAAGGGAATTGAATTTCAGCTGGAGAGAAGAAAATCAGCCAGCTATCTGTCATAGAAAAAGATTCTATCTGATCCTCTCTATTTCTCTCTCTCCCTCTCTCCCCCTCTCCGAAATCTCTCTACTACTATGACAGACAAAAACTGAATGGTATAGGTCAGACTTATTTCCCTCAGGTAAGTTTCTATGTTGTTGTTGTTGCTTTAAATTTAACCCTTTTGCAAATCTCTGTTCTATAAGAAACACATAACGATGCTCACTGAATGTTACAGATTTTTATCCAAGGAAATAAATGTGCAATGGATGTTTAATTCTGTCCAAGCATTAGAAACAGGATAGGGAAAAAAGGGAATTTTTTTTTTTGAAGGAAGGGGAGAGGATATGGGGAGAGATTGTTCATATATAGATAGATTTTGAAAGGCAAAAAGATGCTTTGCAAGAGGGAACTTTATATAGCTCAGCATCTTTCAAAATGTTCTGAATATTTAGCAACGGGCTCAGGAATTTTGCCTTATATGTCTTGGCAAATGTGTCTGAATTTATTCAAACTGAAAGAAGCAGATACCAAGATATTATTTTAAACAAAAAGAAATCTAGTATATTTACAGCAAGTAATCTTTAGAGATGCCTTTCTATTATTTACAAGCCAAGGCATGTCTTAATAATCCAGATAATCATTTTCCCGAAGTTAATTTTAATCAAGGAGATATGGAAAATCAGCATTTTATCATTATGTTGTTCCTCATTATTTTTGCCCTTTCAAAAAGAATATGTGAAAAATCATAATATCTTTAATTTCTGGCATTGCATGTTTTAATGCAAGTGCATATCTTGATAGTTATTTATGTTTCTGTTCCACATAATCATACTTTTTAAAAGTTTTAGTAATAAACATCCTTTTTTGATAAAAAATTGAATGTTGACTGATATTGATATGAATTCTGGATAATTTTTCACTATTTACACAAATCTATATATTCAGAAGAAAGCTTCACTATATTCAACTGTATTACTATGTCATAGCATAATATTAATATAGGCATAGCCATTGATGAAATTCTGCAAAATATAGCTTTTATTTTACTATATCCGATCATTTTTAAGCAAGGACTACAGCTCAATAGTGATGCACAAATATTCAATTTTAATCCTAGCCAGCAAGTGAAAAGCTGCATACACAGAAGCATTTGAATTTAGCCATACTGGCATCTTCTGTCAAAATCTTGTGGAAGACTTTTTAACTCTACACTAGGTTATTAAAACAATACGGCCATAGAGTATTGCCTGCAAGAAATATCTAGTATGGATATGCTACTCTGTGACCAAATCTTCCATAATTTTTTTAATCAAGAAACTATAGTTATTCATATGGTTTATTCTTCCTCAAATCTGCTGATTCTGAAGCTCTCTTTTAGCGTTGTGAAGTATTACTATCATCAAAATCTCTCATTTTTTAAAATCTGTAATGTTACTATGGATTGTATAAAATGAAACAGTTTTAAACTGGAGGATTTTCATTACAGGAGTATTTTATTTTTTAAAAAATCCCAAATTCTATGTAATAATGAGTAATCTGAAAAAAAAAACCTGCTTAGGGAGATTATAATATTTGTACCACACACATTGGACTAAAAATTATACTCTAACCTAAACAGCATGGAGGAGAATTGCAGCCCAAAAGCTTCTGAGGGCCCACAGTATATTTGTTGACTTTTGGGAGATCCATTGAAAGAAATTAGTGTTACGTGCTTAATAAAATGTGCCAGATGTTGAAGAATAGCTCCAGTGGGAAAAGCAATTACAGGTAGTTCTCAATTTATGACCACAATCCAGCCCAAAATTTTTGTTGCTAAATGAGACATTTGTTAAGTGGATTTTGCCCCATTTTATGATGTCTCTTCCCGTAGTTGTTAAGAGAATCACTGTAGTTATTAAATTAGTAACATAGCTATTACATGAATCTGTTTTCCATATTGACTTTGCTTGTCAGAGAGTTATACAAGTAATCACAAGGCCCCAGGAGCCTGCAACTGTCATAAATATGAGTCAGTTTCCAGGTGTTTGAATTTTGATCATGTGACCATGGAGATGCTCCAATGGTTGCGTTAAAAATGGTCATAAATCACTTTTTTAAAAGTGCCATTGTAACTTTGAACAATCACTAAGTGAACTGATGTACATCAAGGACTATCTGTATTGGTAGACAAGTCTATGTCTTTTACTGCTCAAACTTTTAAAACCACAAATTCAGCCAGCTCCATAATGAATCTTGCAATTCTCATTTTTCAAGATTCAGACTAATATTTGGTTTTTCTTTGCGCTACCATATGGTTTCCTATGGAGATAATCAGGCAGCTGTGATGCTTCTATCCTGATTGTTATAAACAATGCATAAAAATACTGGATAATTATCCTAAACTGAGCCATTGTTCTCTCTATCTACTGTCTGTCTGTCTAGCTTGTTAAAAAACACAAATAATTGCATTTATAACCATATCTATAGCTATTACAATCTGAAATTAAACAAAAAATGATAATTCATCTTTTCAATCTCTGCTGCAGTCAGCATCTAGATCAAAGGGAAAAGCTAAGCATATCAAGCATTTCCAAAATGTGGGGAAAAGATTCGAGGAACCATCCACTAAATTTCTTGACTCTTTTTAAATTTCTTTTCTGAGAGGCTTGTCAGTGTATTCTTTACGGTTTTTCCTAATAGAGTAAACTTTGCATTAAGGTTGTAATGAAAAAAATACATAAGTCATTAAAAATAAGTGTCAAAATAAAACAGAAAAAAGCAAAATATATAGTACAAATAATTTTGTGTCTTGTACCTTTCATTTTTTTCTTTTTTTTATTATTTTAAAAAGCGATAAAAATGTATATTAAAAAAAACTTTGCATAGACTGTTGAAATAGAGTGGATTAGCTGCTACTACAATGCTAGAACCTTTTCCTCTTTCTAAAATGTTTTCCAAAGCATAGGAACTGAGATAAAAGTTCCAGTTTTCTTCAAGTTCCTTCCTCAAATTCTCAACAACTCACACTAAAAATCAGTAGTGCGGAGTAATGGGATTGCATAATTATTTATTTTTCCTCCTTAATGTAGATTTCTAGTGGTCCTGAAAAAATTACCCTCATTCCAATTATTTTTTTAAAAAAAGATCTCATCAGATTTTATTTTAAAAATATACTGTCCTTTCCATTATTGACGTTATAACCAACCCTATAACCAAAACTATTACATTTCACAAGTGATCCTAATATTGCAGACCCTAAATAATTTTTTATATTTATCCTTTTGAAATGATTTATTTTAATAATCTGTTTTCTTTTTTCAAAGTGCCCGAAGTTCTGCTTTAAATCATCAACTTATTAATTATTAAAATATGAATTACATTCAAAGCTCAATACAGAATTTTAAATTTTGAAATAGTTTGGTAAACCATTGTGAAATTATTGCAAGTCAAAAAAGTTATATGAATGAATTCAATCCATTTTAAATTTTTCTAAAAATTAACATTTATAAATTAGAGACTTTCCGAAAGTGTAGAAGCATTTGTTTACATGACAGATTAAGTATGGGCTTTGGTGCTAGGAAATGTGACAGTAAATATAGCTGGTTCTAAAAGAGGATTGGAAAACATTGTAGAGGAATGGGTTACGAATGGTTACTAGTCCTCAGAATCTAAGGTGGTATTCTATAATTATTAGCAGCTTTGCATTTTAAATGGTTATTTTAGCAATCAAAACATCTTATACCAATTTTCTTTCAATCTAAAGTTCAAAGTAAATTGCTGACATTTTATGACCAAGTTGGATTACTTGTTTTTGGTAGCAATTTTGTAAATGCTACCATGTTAAAATGAAATAAATATTACAAGCTGAATTCTCCCTTCCATCTATAATATTCTTATTGAACCTTACCGAACCTTCATGGGATCCTGAATTAATCTTAGATGTGATAACTACTGCAGGGGTACCATATATTTCTTACTGAAAGGTATTTATTTTTATTTATCTTTTATTTATTTATTTGTCAAACATGTACAAGGTAACAAGTATAAGTAAGAAAGCATAAACAAAGTAAGTCAATACAGATAAATGAGGACAGTAAGACAGGATGGTAGGCAAGCTGATGCACACCCCCTTTAAGGACCTCTTAGGAATGGGTGAGGTCCACACTAGACAGTTTAAGGTTGAAGCTGTGAGGGTTATATCTGGCCCTTCAATGAAAGAATGACTAAGAAGTTGCGGCGGCATGGTTCAATGTTCAGAACTTTGAACTTTAAAAGTAAACCTGACACAAAATTCAACTTAAACTGGAAACCAGTCTTAATATAATACATGGATTGCCACCATAACTTAAATTTGTGTTTATCTATATATTCCAAGTTCAGAAGGGACGTTAGACTCTTACTAATGTGAATTGAATGTATTATGATGTATGATTTGTTGAACTTATTACATTAAACATGATTCTTGATATTCATTTTTAATTTAGTGCAATTGTTTGCATTTTAAATGTTATATAAAATATACTTAACTAATTAGCAGCATGTTAGAAGGATATATTCTCTAAAACATTTTTAAATCTGTGATTAATTCACTTATATTGTCTTATTCTTTTTCCAACATTTTTTCTTGCTTATATATTTTCTTTGAAGTTCAATTTTTTTTAAAAAAAATTAACACTTTGCGTGACTAGATAGAGTGATTGCTTTCATGTCTGGCTTGTGAATTTCCTCAGATCTATTTGGTTGATCACGTTATCAGAAAATGATAGATTAGATAATGGCATTGGCCTGTGTTTCTTTCAGTAGAACTCTTCTTATGTTTTTATGCTCTTCTCTGGTAGATGCAATGAAATGATCATAAGAAGATGGTCCATGTTTATATCAATTTATGAGTACTGATCTGATGCTACACTAGAGTAGACTTTAAGTAGAATTGCATGATCACTACTAGAATAAAAAGCTAGAAATTATGATTAGATAATTATTTTACCTTTACTTATTATTAAATTATTGCAGATATTTTATTAAATAGTTAATCATATTAACTATTTAATAAAAATAGAAATACACCTAGCAATTTTGCATAAGGCACTCTAGAAGAAGCCATACTTGTTATCAAGCCAGATTGGACATAAAGAAACATAGGAACTCTGCTTAATTGAT